GTGCTTTTAATTTCCCGTATGATATACATTTTTCACACACCGTCATACAGGTGCATAGCCGAAACAACTGCTGTCACTCTTCAACAGGCAGCAGAATATATTATTCGCCGCTAGGGGCGCTACGGTCAGAGCTACTTAGAAACAGTCAAGGAAAAAGAAATACCGTGATTTACCGTGAAACCGCCAGAATCTTAAAAAATACCGTGATACAAACTTTTGGTCATACCGCCCAGCACGACATTAAGGTTCTACAGTCGCTGAATCCTCTTCTGTCTTCATGTTGCTTCTGTATTTAGTTTCAAGGGCCATCGGGAATAGTACACCTCCATTAATAATTCATATGAAACCATTGTTGGATACAAACAGGAGGCCAAGAGATGATTCAAACACAAACTCATGTTGAGAAAGTCCAATCTGTCATTTTGTTCTCCTCAAAGGCAGCATCTGCTGGTGCACACGGCTCGCACTGAAGGCTACAGTAAGGTGTTGCTGGGAGACAACTGCACCAGACTGGCTGTCAAACTGCTCACCAGTATATCACTGGGCAGAGGAGCACAGCTGGCTCAGGACACGGTGTGTATGCGACGATGGACGGAGAGCCTTCAAATCTGTCTTCTTCCGTTTCACATGATATTAGATGTGAACTCTGACTCAAAGAAATACTATTATATTGTAACGATGTGTGTTTGTGTTGACAGGGTTTCTCAGACTCCAGGTATGGGGACATCATATTAGTGAGGCCAATGAGGGACTACTCGGCTAAAGAAATAGCTTACTACAACCGCATGTTCGGCGTGCCCTCTGTTTTCATACTGAGCCTGGACACGAAGGTAAGATCAAGCAGCAGACGTGACAGTAACAGGGTGTCACAATGACACTAGTGTCTGAAGCCATACGAGGCATTGTAGTGTGAGCGGCTCCTGCCCCGTTTCTAGATGGGGAAGTCTTTCGCACCTAACACGGTGCTTACTCCGTCCGCTGTCCCACCTGCGAGGATATGCGTTCCTCTTGGAGGTGTTGGAACAATGCCTTCGGCCTTTTATCTCATCCCGTAGCTGAATCGTTAGGATTTCGGAATTATTGTCTTTTTGAAAGTCTTGTACGGCTAATGCCCTATGCGCTCTCAGTAGGATGTAACCCTAACACCCTGTATGTACTAGTTATGTACATCGTCTATACTTTACTATTGCCTATTGTGAACATTCTCACCATTCATGACTAACACTGCCAAGTCTTCACCCAGAGAACTTACCTTAAGCTCCTCTGCATGTTTCAGTCATCACATCTTATCGCCCCGTTAACGGACAGGGGAAGAGGGGTACACTGTTCTAAAGGACCAGAGTACTTTGTTTTGCTTCAGACACTTACAAAATGTAAGGCTGTCTTTTTATTTAAGTTTTTCACACAACAATCACATAAAATAATTTCAATTCAATGAAACAGTCTCTGTTCACAAGAACTAATTCTAACACTCCTACTGTAATACGTTTTCCTCTTAATCAGCTTTCAATGATGTGCTGTGAGGTATAATCCTCTAGTTGGGGAAAAGGCCCAACTCTCACAGCTGTTCTGCTGCTTTTATGTTAAATCACTTCTATTATGAAATAAAACAGGTTATAGGTTTAATGGTTGTACTTTGAATCAACAGAGTTACAGGTTATAATAGTTATACTTTTCTACAATCTTTCAACAGAAAAATCCATAAAACATGAGGAACAGCAATGGAATAATAGATGACAGAGGATGGAACTTAGAATTCTTCTTCTTTTTTTCATTGATTAAAAAAACCGTTGACAACGTCAATGAAAGGCGATGGAAGTTGTGGAAAGGAGCCAGAAAACCACAGGAGTGAATTATTGAACCATGTTGAGTTCGTTCTGGACAAACTTGTATTAGATCAGATACACGTTCACACGTCTAACCCTTCACACTTCACACTTCTGCAGATGACGGTTCACTCGTTGCTGAGACGTTGGAGCCGCACTGTAATATAATTAGTTGAGTTGCCTCTTGGTCAAATGCTCCGAGTAAACTTAAGTTCCCTTGTGTAAGCAGTGATTCAGTGGATATGTGTTGGGCTTTTATTGTGAAATGTAAGCTGTGATGAGTGAAGCTGTAATGTGCTGACTCAGTGTTCATGTGATCTGGAGATGGCGATGTGCCTTCTGTGTGTAGATGAAGCATTGAGTTGTTTCATTTGACTCATTTAGCGGCTGGCTGGTTAGCTAGCTAACGTTATCTAGCCAGTTCCACCATGCTAACGTTGGTTACAGGAAATGAGCAGAACAGCTGGTGACCAGAGTGCAGAGACACTGGGGTTTGAATTCTTCCTGAAGTCTCATTTGTGGTCTGATAAACAGTAAAACTATCAGTGGCCCATATCACTATTTTCCAAGCTACTGTAGCTGTCATATTTGTTGATGCTGTCAGAAGTGCGCTTGGTTTCATCTCTCAGCCCATGCCTACTTTTTCAAAATGATGCAGTGGGTGGACTAAGCTCAGACCTGGGGTGAAGCTACACTTTAATAAGTATCGGCGCACCTCGTGACCCTCAGCTGCATAACTGCAGTGCCATAGTTTGCTCGATGCATAAAAATGTACCAGGATGCAGGTAATTAAAAGTGTCTGACGCTCAAATATTTTCCCCCCAAATGTAGAAATCTTTGACCTAGTAGGCCCACGACGTCATGTTACATTGCCTTCATCATGTCTGTGTGTTAGCCTGACATCATTCAGTGCAGTCTTGTAACAGTGTAACAGAAATGTTTCAGGGCTGATTTAGTGAGATTGCAGTTGTGACTGCGTAAAAGTGACCAGGGTGCCATCAGATTAATGTAAAGCCTAAAAGCCCGAGTTAATCCCAAAGTAAACTGGCTAACTCTCCAACACTGCTTAGTGAGATGACCTTGCTGTATCCCTGTTAACAGATTCTGCTCATGAATACAGAATTACAGTCGGGTCCATAAATATTTGGACATTGACACAATTGTCATCATTTTGGCTCTGTACACAACCACAATGGAGTTGAAATGACACAAAGATGTGCTTTGGGTGCAGACGTTCAGCTTTTATTAGAGGGTATTTACATGATCCGAATCAGGTGAACACTGTAGCGATTACATCAAATGATGTACATGGTCCCCCCTTTTGAAGGGACCAAAAGTAATTGGACAAAGTAACATAATCATAAATCAAATTGTCACTTTTAATATTTGGTTGCAAATCCTTTGCAGTCAATGACAGCCTGAAGTGTGGAACCCATAGACATCACCAGACGCTGGGTTTCATCCCTGGTGATGCTCTGCCAGGCCTCTGCTGCAGCTGTCTTCAGTTCCTGCCTGTTCCTTGGCCAGTTCCCCTTCAGCTTTGTCTTCAGCAAGTGAAATGCATGCTCAATTGGACTGAGGTCAGGTGATTGACTTGGCCATTGCAGAACATTCCACTCCTTTGCCTTGATAAACTCTTTGGTTGCTTTTGCAGTATGCTTCGGGTCATTGTCCATCTGCACTGTGAAGCGCCGTCCAATGAGTTTTGAAGTATTTGGCTGAATATGAGCAGATAATATTGCCCCAAACACTTCAGAATTCATCCTGCTGCTTTTGTCTGCAGTCGCATCAATAAATACGAGGGAACCAGTTCCATTGGCAGCGATACATGCTCACGCCATAACACTACCACCACTATGCTTCACTGACAAGGTGGTATGCTTTGGATCATGAGCAGTTCCTTCCCTTCTCCATACTCTTCTCTTTCCATCATTCTGGTACAAGTTGATCTCTGTCTCATCTGTCCATAGGATGTTGTTCCAGAACTGTACAGGCTTTTTTAGATGTTTTTTGGCAATCTCTAATGTGGTCTTCCTGTTTTTGAGGCTCTGTTTCCCTGGTCTTCCGGGTCTTTTGGTGTTGCTGAGCTCACCAGTGCTTTCTTTTTAAGAATGTACCAAACAGTTGATTTGGCCACACCTAATGTTTTTGCTGTCTCTCTGATGGGTTTGTTTTCATTCTTCAGGCTAATGATGGTTCTTCACTGATAGCGACAGCTCTTTGGACTTCATATTGAGAGTTGACAGCAACAGATTCCAAATGCAAATCCCACACTTGAAATGAACTGCTCCTTGTTAACGAAATAATGAGGGAATAACACACCTGGCCGTGGAACAGCTGATCAGCCAATTGTCCAATTACTTTTGGTCCCTTCAAAAGAGAGGGACCACGTATAAAATGTCTTGTAATTGCTACACCGTTCACCTGATTTGGATCATGTAAATACCCTCAAAGTGAAGCTGAACGTCTGCACTCAAAGCACATCTTGATTGTTTCATTTCAAATCCATTGTGGTTGTGTACAGAGCCAAAATTATGAAAATTGTGTCAATGTCCAAATATCTATGGAGCTGACTGTATGTCGGTAATGAGACAAGATCTTGTTATCTGAAGTGTTCTGGTTTCCCTTTGCAGTCTGAGTAGTATTGGCCAATCACGGTCGAGCATGTGGACCGACACATGGGATGAACCTTAGGCTATATGCTGACTACAGCAGACCCCTAGAAATATACCCCTCTGTTCAGAGATTGATGGCTGCCACAAATCTTGACATTTTCTCCAGCTTGATATTTTGAAACTCTGCACTGAACAGTTGTTTAAAATTATATTATGTTAAACATGTTGGAGTTTGGCCTGTCCAACTGTTGCATTCAGTGTGTTTGTGTGCTTCCCACAGACAGCAGACAAGTCGAGCATCCAGCGTCTGACAGAGAGCTTTGTCACCAGACTGCAGGCAGACTTCCCCTCTACTGTCAGCACCATCTACAGGTCAGCACCAAACCTCAACCGCCGTGTACACGAGCATAGATTGTGCAGAAAGCACTCAATGTGAGGGCTTTGATACATCATTGTGGATAATGGATGCTGGACATTTAGTAAACGGTACATAATACGGCCTGCTTTTACAAAGATTAACAAGATACAATCTACCCAGCATTTTCCACATACACCCAAAGCAGCTGTTGAAGCCCCCATGAGATCCTTAACACTCTGCTGTGTTGGCTGTAGGACCAGTGAGAAGCTGCAGACGTGTAAGAGCTCCTCCACAGCTGACCACTGTGACAGATGTCTGCTCTGCATGTGTGCCCTGGACACAGCTGTTGGTGAGCTTTGCATGGAGTGACTTTGAACAAAAATACCTACACCTATAAGCCACTGAGGGACAAACGGGGTGAACTTGTTTTGGACGCATTCTAGGATCAAAAATAAACCAATGTCCAGTGTTTATTTCTATTTTTGGAGATGTATTTGTTGACAGTTTGACATACAGACCGTAGCTTTATGTCGGTAGCAACATTGTCTATACTTATACTTATTCTCTGTTTCCATTCAGCTAAATCTGAATCCACGATGAACCATGATTAATGCATTGAGTTAGACATGCTAACAGTCATTGAAATGACCACTTCTCTCTCTAATTCTAATCTCTTTCTTTTTATCTCCAAGTCCTGCAATTTGTTTGTTTCTTGAAATTTGATTTCTACTTTTTTTGTTTAGTGCTTGCTGTACAGACAGTTTATGAATTTTCTAAACACATCAATTGGCACGGCAAGAATGGTTGATGGTGTCTTTCAGGTAACAGGTAGCGTTACCAGACGTCTCAGGCTGTACAGAGTCTGGCTCTATGTATTTATTTAATACATATAATGATGGTAATAGAGATGACACAACATGCTAGTTGATGTGTTTAACAGGATTCAGAAGCTCTGTGATGTCTGATCAGCACACCCTTAAGAAAAGAGATGCCAGAGGAAAAAATCTAATTCCACAAACAAACTTTAGTGTTAAATTTTTCCTTATTTTTAAAATGTAAAAAGTTGATCAGAGTTGCCAGTTGGTAAAATGTTGCCTCAGGTCCAGCAGCAGCACCGTGTCTGTCTTTGACACGTTCACTAGTGGCGTGTTAGTAAAGACTGTCCGTGTGCCGTCACACATGTTCATATGAAAGAGACAAGAATTTCAACTTTTTTCTTTTGCTGATGTAGATTCTAGTTACCTCTTTTTAAAGTTGATGAAGATTATAAGTTGAGATATTTGTGTTGTAGTAGTTGTATTTTGTTCAGTAAGGAGAGAAATAGCATACTTTTTGAAGTTCAAATAATTTTTATTTTATACTTTTCATGGATGAATTGGTGCCTTTGCTAGGGATAGAAATTCATGGCCAGAAAGCAACAAATTGTACCATTTACCAGATGCCCCCGGACCCCCCCATCATGCTGTGCATCCGGCGTTTGTTACCCCAAAACCTGGACACAAGTAACAAAAAGTTCAGTCAAAAAGAAACGTCACTAGCACCCATGCAGTCCTTCGACATCCGGGTTCAACAATGTAATTGCCCTCTTGATCTATACAGCAGTTCTACGCATTCTTTACATTAAAGAAGACCTTAATGACGTTGTCTTTCCTCTCAGCCTTTTTTACAATTTGTTTTTTTTAGAGAATGCTTCAGCCTTCCAGGCCACGCTGATCTCAGAGCAGCTCTCTCAGACTAAAGCACCAGGAGCTACCAGTGCTGCGGTCCTAAGACAAAACCCAGGTACAGTATACAGTCAGTCAATGAACACATTCCACTCCTACTCGTGGCTTCGACATTTCTTGCAGAGTGCGGAGAGTTCAGAAATACGAGCATTAAAGCTTGGGCCTGTCAGAAAAGTAACACTTGTGTTGTATTTCAGCGCTGTGTTTATAGCAGGCGGCATCCTCCGGTTCTGCAGAGTGAAGCCGATGCTGAAGTGTCTTAAGACTTTTATTCTCTCTAGTGACCACCAGGGGGCGACTCCTCTGGTTGTATAGAAGTCTATGAGAAAATGACTCTACTTCTCTCTTGATTTATTACCTCAGTAAACATTGTAAACATGAGTTTATGGTCTCAATCTCTAGTTTCAAGTCTTCTTCAATACAGCATGATGTTCATTTAGTACATTATGGTCCATTTAGAGTCAAATAGACCATAAAGCAGGGGATGCTTTAGAGCAGGGCTACTGTGATTGACAGGTCTCTGCTGCTACCAGAGACGTATACGGCGTCTCTACTTCACTCCTTTGCATTCCAAATATGGCTTCATTGGTTGGGAAAATCGCCAAACTCAAGGCTTCAAAACTTCAGTCCACAAACCAATGGATGACGTCCCGATGACTACTTCCACTTCTTATATACAGTCTATGGTTTATAGTGGCACAGCTAAGAGGTTGGTTTTGTAGCACCAGGCAGAAACCACCTCCAGCTCAGGTCACATGATACACCTGCCGTACCGTAAAAGTCCACAATTGAGTTTCCGTACTTCTTAGTCATTCAAATCCGTTTCCTGTGTTTTCATTAAAGCTCCACTGGAGCCAGAATCCACTGCTGCCACTGGACAGTGCTGCTCCTCTGGTGGAGGAGAGGATTGTGGGAAAGCAGTAGGTGGTGTAGGCTGCTGTTCGTCTGCCAAGTAAGTGTTCAGGGATTTATAGATCTAATGTAATTGGGGATCACACCGACACTTAAAAGTCCAAAATACACAGTGTTCCTCTTACCCGTAGAGCTGTTTCTCATGCTCATAGTTTTGGTGTGAGATGTGAGTGTTTGACTTGTCGGCCGTAGAGATGTCTGTCTTCACTCCAATGTAGTGTGACTGGATGGCACTCGCTCTGTGGTGCTCAAAGCTCTCAAAAAAACAGCAATGTCTCTTTCTTTAATCAAGACTAATGTCCCTTAAACATGCAAAGGGATGTCAACAAGCAAATTCCAAACTTTCTAAACAGGAGTCTGGATCTTGGCCTCATGTTGAGCATGTGTCTTTATTCATCAGTCCTGTATGGACAATAGTTAGAGAGCTCATCTCTGCATATTGTATGACCAGGAGTTTCATTGGTTGTTGATCAGGACCACTGGGCTCTGGACCACTGGTCTGCTAACATCAGCACACTAGCATGCTGAGGTTTAGCGGGTAGCATTTTCACAGTGTTCACCATCTTAGTTTAGCATGTTAGCATGCTAACAATTAGCAGTAAACACAAAGCCGCCCTTGGATCATGTCTCGGACAGAGTGTCGGGTTTTCCAAAGATGCAGTGGTTATACCGCTCTGGTCTACTTGAAGTCAAACTTGTCTGTACATGAGTCTGATAGCCGTGTATTACAGGGGACCAGAGCGCACCGATCTGAGGAGCCTGTTGTGTTACAGCTGTCAGCTGACCATCAGAGACATGGTGAGTGAAAACATGTGCAGGAACAAACTCAATTCATCCTTTTCTACAATAATCTAAACTTTGTATTTGTTTTTAATCACTTCATCTAAATAGAAAATTTAGTTTTTTTGGAAGAAATTTGAAATGTTTCTCTCTTGTAGTACTTTGTCGCATGTTTTTCAAAGAAGCGGCATTTGATTAGTTTCACTGCTCTGTCTTTTCTTTATCTGTTCTTCTAGTCGTCGGTGGAACGTCTCCCGCACTACATCCTGTCTGAGGCTCAGAGGAGGCAGAGGAGGTAAGCAGAATCTTTGGCTCATTAATAATAAGAATCCCATCTGCGTTACATTAAACGACTCACTTTAGAGTCTGACCGCATTTCAGCTTTGTGAGGCCTAGTTTGCCGTGGATGTACCGATCACGGCCCGATCAACTGCTCTCCGACATGAATTTCTGTCATGTCAGCGATTTTATTCGGCCGTCTCAGGTTCTTGCACCGTTGAGCAGAGCCAAGAGTCCATTCGGTGCCTTTTCTTCTCACTGCTCCTCCGCAAAGGGGCAACACAGCGTCTGAAGTGCCGTGGCGACATGACGCGTCATGTGGGCGGGACAATACAGAGGCCAGAATGGTCGAGCTGTGGCAGCAGCACATGTGCCTCTTCGAAGTTTCCTCTTCCACCACCTATCACGAGCGGTATCAACGAGAGAGCATTCTTGAACCGCAACCGTACTGGTGACACTCCAGACCTCTACCTGCCTCTAAGCTTGCAAACATATCTTTTTTTGACATTTGTCAATAGCCAGAACGGTGCGCAGCAGCATAGCAGTTGTTTAGTCCGTAAGCATTGGCTTTACGTTGCAGACGATGTGCTGGTTCCTTAAGAGTTTGAGTTGAACAACATTTCTCCAGTGGGACGTCTGCCCAGCTTTACTGCTGATCAGTAATGAAGCGCTTTTGAATGCATGTCTCAGACCTTCCTGGTCATGTCAGCCTAGAATCACTTCCTGGTCTCTATGTGCCAAACAAACTGTTGTACTGGAACAACCACATGGACATTATAACGATATATTTCAATAAGAAATGAAATGCCATCGTCCCTCCTTTGTGTTGTGTCCTGCAGGTCTCAGATGAGAGAGGACATCGGTGAGTTCCTGCTGGATGAAGGTGACGAAGGCGATTAGAGGAAGTGAAGCTGCAACCGTCCACTCTGAAGAAATGTACAACACAACTATGCTCATTTCAACCTGCAGGATTGGGATTTATCAATGCTTAACACGTATATCGATGTACATGTCCTGTAGGCTGCGGTCTGTTCTAACATGGTCTAATTCAAATATGCGCTCAAACTGGTGAATTCAAACCCAGCACACACACCATTAGTTCATTGTTACTGCATTCCACAAACAGAACATAATAAAGTGTCTTTATTTTCCATGCATTTGTTCATTCATCCACCAAACCCAAGATTTTGATAACCTTTAATCATAAACTGGAGTTTGTTAAAGTAAAGCCCATGTGAAAAGCAAAAATGGCCTAAAATGACACATGAAAATAGAAATGTCTGACTTCCTGTTGGGTTCCTGCCCCTTACATTTGAGCTGGAACCCTTTCAGAACTCTTGAAATGTTTGAAGGAGACTTGCTTGCCCAATCCCACAGTCCCCCCTTAAAGCCTGAACCCTCAGGGACTTACTGTCACCTGGTAAATAATCTTTAACGTGACATTGCAATGAACTGTGGGTAATTCCTATGGGCAATGTCTGCATCCAATGCTGAGTTAACTTACGGACAGGGTTCATAAATAACTCAAAATGTCTGCTAGAGAGCCCTCAAACACTCGATGGACTTTGCAGGAACGTGCCTCAAACTCATATCCAGACATGTCCTCTTTCGTCAGCCTCACATGACTGAATGGAAATGATGATAAATGATGTAAAAAGCTCTTTCTGACTTTAATTGTATCAATATTTATTATTTGGTTATTTGGGGAAATAACAGATCAAGACAAATCTTTCTAAAAATTGAAGAAAGTTGTTTGTGGTCCTTTTGTTGTTCAGACTACAATGAACATTTATTTCATAACAAGATGGCAAATCAATAAACAAATGAAATGTAAAAGTTGAGAGCAATACACGACTTTAATCTGTATTCTGTCTTCACTGGTGAAACTTCTGTGATGTTGAGAAATATCCGATCAGCTGCAGCGTCCAATCAAGTTTGACTGGCTAGTCTTACTCGTGTATTGGCTTTTTATGGAATCGGGTACGAGTGTAGTCGGAAGAGGTAGATGCAGCATCGGAAATACACGAGGGCAAAGGGCAAAACTGCCCCTAAGAAATATGTTGCCCCTGATGTCACTAGGAAGGGGGCAAAAAATGCCCCCAATATTTCCTCTAATAATGATAATTTAATGAACTTGTCAAAAACATCGTAGCCTATATGACCCGGTCCAGTTGCCATAGAATGGTTTTGATTTTCACCTTGACTGATGTTGCGTGTGAGTGAAGAACCGAATGTTCTAAACAAATAAATGGAGTGTGTTAGGTTTTTAAGAACAAAGGATGAGAGAGCCTGCAGGCCGCAGGTACTCTTCTGCTGCGAGGTTCTTACTGCGCACGCGCATCAGAAGAATGAGCTGGACCCGGTTCAAAATTAAAACAATATTTAATGTACTACACAAAGTTCACTTACAAACTGAATTAACTATCAATAGTAATGTTCTCGAGAACAGAGACCACATGCACGCATCTCACAGGTCTGAATTCAGGTACTGAAAAACGAGAGCGGAAGTGGTCTGAGGAATGCTCTCTCGAACGTTGTCTTTTATATCAACTGACAGTCGGAAAGTGTCCGAACTGTCCTAAAACATGTGAATGATCCTCCGTTGATCAGTGATTGGCTCCATTTGAATCCTGTCCCCTCCCTGGATCGATCCTTTCTGGCAAACATCCTGAACTCCTCCTCTCTGACCTGCTGGTCAGTTGTCCGCCCCTCTGCTGCACCTCTGAAAAGGCTCACTCAAAATGATCTCTTACTGACCCTCAAAACTATTCATACAGTGTTTTAATACCTTTAGTGACTATACTTCTATGATTTAATACATTCAATGAGTTAATATACTGTAACATATAATATCCTCTATAAGTGAGGATATTATAAACATAATACATTCCATAGGGAAACATATTGTGACTAACATATTTATTATTGTGACACTTCTACTCACCACTAGGGGTGTTATTAAATCCTACTAATAATGCGTTTAATACTGAAATTCTCCACAAGCGCTTCTTAATCAGACCTGTGACTGCGGTCAACTCAGCAGACACTTACATGTTAGTGCACCTATATGCTGACATTCACGGTAAACGCATTCAAACGGCACAGGGAGCGAGCGAAGGACTTTGAAAGTTAGCGGAAAGATTAACGTGAGACAACATCCGGTTTCTTCAGCCGAATATCCGGTTTTCAGAATAAGATGCCAACAAAGTATACATATTGCATAATGGAAATTAGATTAAATGAATTATATTCACATTAAGTATAAAACATGCTACCTGCATCTCGTGAGTTAAAGGGAAAATACACCTAAATTGTGCGCAAAGTGTTTATTCTTTGATTTGAGGGTTGCTGGAAATGAATAATACCTGACTGACAGTCAATTAAGATATTTTACTAAGTAAAAACTCTGAACTGAATTTGTACCTTCAAATGGCACATTTTTAAAATTTTTAAGGTGCTATAAAAATGTTTTTCTCATAAATTCCACACAATGACTAATGCATATGTTCAGGACAAAAATGGGTAATATCACAATATTTGTGGTGCTACAAAAATATCTTTCTCAATAATTCCATACAATGACTGATGTAATCAAGGCGTCGTTGACTTAATTGTTTAAAACATTTAATAATAACAAATAACCACAAATAAATAAGAATAAAATTGAATATGATTGTCAGACGGATCGGTGCAGCTGCAGCAGTAAAGCAGGCGCTGCACCGGACCGTCTTGGTGAAGAGGGAGCTGAGCCGGAAGGCAAAGCTCTCAATTTACCACTCGGTCTACGTTCCTACCCTCACCTATGGTCACGAACTCTGGGTCATGACCGAAAGGACAAGGTCGCGGCTACAAGCGGCCGAAATGAGTTTCCTCCGTAGGGTGGCCGGGCTCAGCCTTAGAGATAGGGTAAGGAGCTCGGTCATCAGGAGGGAGCTTGGAGTAGAGCCGCTACTCCTTCGCGTCGAAAGGAGTCAGCTGAGGTGGTTCGGGCATCTAATTAGGATGCCTCCTGGACGCCTCCCACTGGAGGTTTTCCAGGCACGTCCAACTGGGAAGAGACCCCGGGGAAGACCCAGAACACGCTGGAGAGATTACATCTCCCAGCTGGCCTGGGAACGCCTCGGGATCCCCCAGAATGAGCTGGAACATGTTGCCGGTGAGAGGGAGGTCTGGGTCGGCCTGCTTGACCTGCTGCCACCGCGACCCGACCCCGGATAAGCGGTGGAAAATGGATGGATGGATGATTGTCCGATTTATGTTTGTTTTTTGTTCAAAAAATCTAACAAAACACTTTGAATCTGTAGACTACTGCCTAATAGTCTTATTGCCATTTGATGACAATTGCTCATATACTGTATATTTATTATTTTGAACAAAGGTTAAATGTTATTTCACAAGTTTCAAAAAGTGCCCCCAATTTTTTTTAAATGCCCCTGGATTTCAGTCAGTGGGGGCAAAAATTTCCCCCTAAAAATATGTAAATTTCCTACCCTGGGTAGATGGGTTGAGATGGACCTGACGGGTTGGTCTTGCTGCATTTGAGGTGATTGATGAGGGTGTTGGGAGGATGGATGGAAATGTTGGACATGGTTGTCGTGAAGGATGTGTAACAGGTTGTATATGGACCCAAATGCAGCTTCCAGATACAGCAGGCTGAGTTTAATCAGAGTCAGGATCAGAAGGCTGGTGGGTTTACCAGGAGTCAGGCAAGGCGGGTGGAACAGGGGCAGGCAGGGTCGGTAACAGGCGATCAATCCGTGGGAGGGTGCTGGAGAGTCTGGCATGGAAAAACGAAGAACAATCTGGCAAATATGTCTGGGAGGCAGGAGTCTATATAGGAGCTTGATTACTGATCAGAGGCAGGTGAGTGAACAGGTGAAGGGAGTTTAGACTGATGAGGAGTCAGTGACTGACAAGAAGAGTGCGGAGGGTGTGGAGCTGAACTGTGACAGGATGGTAGTTGAGGGTTGGAGCAGTGAACTGAGCAGGAAGCTGAACAATGCCAGTAAGAACATGGATTCTAAGACTTGACATATTGTGAAGTGGAGATTAAATGTTCCAGTTGCGGATTCAGTTGAAGAAGGTGGCTGAAAACAATGAGATGGGAGTTGGCAGAGGCTCAGAGGCTCGGAGGCTGGTGCCAATTGTATGAATATCTGGAACGAGAAACGTGAAAGTGAGTTTTTGTGCCCCGGGATGTAGGAGGCTTGGATGATGAACTGTTACTGGGCCAAAACCAGAGTGAGTCTCCCCATGAGCTTCATTCTATTGAGACAATGTGAGCGTCCTTTTTAGATGTCTAGAACGACGCTGTGGAAGAGATACCAATGGTCTTGTTGGACTATTTGTGCCCCAAAAGAATAGTTGCTATGACGACTGGGTACATTTCGGAGACCGTGGAGGTTTAGGGGTGATGGAAGGTGGGGCGGCAATGGGGCGCAGGCTGCCGAAAATGATAGCGCTTGGTTTATTAGGAGCTGAGGTACATGGGAGGGTGCGTCGCAATTCAAAGAAGAGCGAGCTGCAAAGCTTGACTTGGGGTCTAGTGTTTCCCCTAGTTGTGTTTCTAGTATGGGCAAGTTACCGGTGGCTTAAGATGCAAAAAGAACGTGATATGTATAGAAATCATTGCCGCCGAAACCGCAGGTTGAGGATCAGCGACAAGTACTCATCCAGCTCAGGCTGCGGTCGGGGAAGGCAGAGCAAAGTATTTGGTGGTACATGAGGGGGAAACAGAGACAGGAGGAAACAAAGGGTTTTGGCCAATGACACCACCGTGGAGCGCTGTCATGGGAGCGGTCTTTACAGCTGGAGTAGAAAATACAGAGGTGGGAGACAAAAAAACAGTCGTCCATTCCTGCAGTGCATATTTTTATTATATTGCATCATCAGGAATGTAAACAGCAGCAACAAAACAATCCTCTGGGCAGAAAAGATGGCCGACATCTTCACATTAAAGATTCAACACAAGGGAAACATTGTTGATCGACTTTAACTAGAGCACCAAACACCATCGATGTAAACACAGAGTCCTCCTCCTCTGGTCCCACTGGAGTCCTGCTCTCTGTCAATGCAGCTTGATCCTGGATGGAGCCAGGGGCCTGTACCACATAGCAAGTTCAACATATTCAGGATATCTTTTGGTTATTTG